TCATCATCATCATCATCATCGGAAGGAATGTCAACTTCATCGTCATCGTCATCGTCCTCACTAGACAGCTGTTCAGCTTCTAAAATAGCATAGTTTTTTGTTTTGAAAAAGATTTAAGCAATGAAAAGCAAATCCAAACAATAAAACAAAACAATAACAGAAAATCATTGTTCGCCCCCGCCCCGCGGAGTGACGAACCTTACAAAACATCGACCATGCTCATGAATAACGAAAGACACTCGTGTTCTCTCGGACATATCAGTTAAAAACGCCTTCGGGTGCGCTTATTAAAAAAATGTATTTAACCACGTTTTTCATATGCGTAATTGCAGGCGTTTGTAATTAATAGAGAGAACGCTTGCGTCTTTCGTTATTTTAAAATATGCGCGACTTCTGGTCAAAGTATTCCCTCATCAAATACCTTTTGCTCCAAAAGAAAGGAATCCTTTTACAGTTCCCATCAAAGTTCCACTCTGTTTGGCTTTCTGAGTGAGCATTAAAATGCGAAAAAGTTCAGAGAATCGCCATTAATCCAAATCTAAGTAACGTAAAAGGGTAAATAAAAAAGAAAAATATGTTGTGCCACCAAGGATAATGTAGGATGCTTGGGCAATGTAAAGACAACGGCTTTGGCAAGTCAGGGATGCATTTGTTCCACAAGGAGACTAGCTGGATAGATTTCGCGAGGTTGCTCGGTTCAACCAATTGTAAAGTGTAAAACTAATGAAAGTTAACGATCGTTCGAGATCGTACTATCTTACATACTAAACTAAAACCCCTAAGAACTTCGTAATAGACCTCGCTCACGGTAGAGTCTCTGTGGCTCAGTGGTTCGATTCCTCATAGGGATTCATAATTTCTTTCTTTGTCCCACCCTCGTAACAAGACAAATAACATCTTTCTCTAAACTAAACCCCATTCAAGTTGATGTCATCCATTGATAGATCAAAGAGCTTTGTCATACCTTTAACAAACTCTTATACTTTTGTTTCTTCTTCTCTTTCGTCTGTGTTGAAGCCATATCTACAAGAGTGGTGAGAATGTCGATTCTATCGCGCTTTGACATTCCGACCTTGTTTTTTTTCCACTTCTTTTCATAAAATCGAAAGGCTTGGTTACTGTACTTTTCGGCCTTACTTTTCTCGGAAAGCTGTTTACAGAGCCTACAGAGAGTTTGCAGAATTTCCTCTCTGACGGTGTCTGGTAACTTTCTCGCGTCGGGTGAATTCCACG